AAGCTGTTTTCCTCACCAGATACTCTGCTGAAGAAGGAGGAACAATCACCTCCTGTACCAGCCAGATTCGATTTGATGGTACACACATAATAAAAAATAAAAAAAATATTTTTTTAAAAAAACTGTTTTCTTGTTGTCTTTTAAATGTATATTTTTAAAAATAATATATTAGGGGAGCTCTGGTGGCCTAGTGGCAAGGAGCTGCAACTACAATCCCAGAGGCGCACGGTTCAAATCTACCAGATGCTCTGCAGGGGAAGGAGGGACAATCTCTTCCTGTACCAGTCAGATCTGATTTGATGGTACACACACACAAAAATTAAAAATAATAATAATAATAGTAATACATTAAAGATCTGCAGAAATAGCTTTAGACTAAATATGCTTTCTATAAGAAAAGGCAGACAGAGATGTAATGATGTTTTTTTTTAATGTTTCAGAAGCCTAACTTTTTACATAGCAGTTATATTTCACTAGTGTTGATATTTGGCTAATGGCATAGCAAATAAGGATTCTGAAATACATATTTAGTGTTTGAAAATTTAAGACAGATAAAGGGCTGTTTAACATCTCATCTTGTATTCTGATAAATTGGCAAGAAAGGGAGATCCCCAAATCATATTTCTTGATGGTAACTTTTCAATTAATGTATCTAAGTTTTATTTGTAAATATTGTGTGTTCTAGTGTGTCTTAAGATTTCAAATCAATGAATGAATAAAAATCCAAAGTCTCTGTAAATGTTCATTAAAATTAATAAAATTTTAAAAAAGATTCCAAACAAAATGATCCCTGATTTCCTCAAATACCAAATAAGAGTCTGGAAAGCAAAGCAGACCATGCAGGAAATAGGAAATGCAGATATAGGTTTTGTATGGTTGCATATAATCTTTGCTCTTTTTAAGCTCTGCGAGCTCTGAAATATATTTTTTTGGTTACTTCAGTGTATTTGATAAGACAGCTTGATATTTCTATCAAAACAATGACTTTCAAACTGCAACAATCTTCATAGGAATCACTCAAATAAAATTCTCTTTAAAAGGAAAAAAGAAAACAAAACAAAACATAATGCTTAAGAATGACTGTATGAAACACAATGTGAATTAAGAATAGTGTGAAACACAATGTATATGAACTTCGTAAGCAAACCAAGTTTAAAAAAAAAAAATAGTAAAAAACCCCAACCCATTGTATAGATGCACACGGTTCTGCTCTGTGGAAGTCACACAACTACTGAAAGGACTTTCCGGACTTGTTCATGCAATCCTCTCTTGCACAAGCATATTATGTTTGTTGTATCCATGATTCCTTTATAAGCAGTTCTTTTTCTGTAGGCAACCATTTTTTTTTTCTATATGGAACGCTTCACGAATTTGCGTGTCATCCTTGCGCAGGGGCCATGCTAATCTTCTCTGTATCGTTCCAATTTTTTAGTATATGTGCTGCCGAAGCGAGCACGCAACCATATTTTTTAATGAAGTAACCCTGTAACCTTAGCCACAACTAACTGGACAAAGGATGAGTCCTGGATCCAATGACGGCAGCCAATGAGATGGCCTGTAATGAAAAGGCTTTCTGACCACACAACTGTGATCCTCTCTCCCTTATAGGGAACAAGAATATATGACCGTGGGAAGCAGAGAGAAGGGGAAGTAGCACCCAGACACCCAGCAAAAAAGGCAGTAAGCTTTATGACGGAAGCATTTACAGTGAGGGAAGGGGCAGTAAGCATTACAATGGAGGCATTTAACACCAGTGAAGGGGGCAGAAGGCATTATGATGGAGGCATTTACAGGGAGTGCAGAGGGAAGAAAGCATTATGATGGAGGCATTTACAGCGTGAAGGGGGCAGAAGGCATTATGACGGAGGCATTTACCGTGAGTGCAGAGGGAAGAATGCATGACGATGGAGGCATTTACAGCAAGTGAAGGGGGCAGAAAGCATTATGATAGAGGCATTTACAGCAAGTGAAGGGGCAGGAAGCATTATGATGGAGGCATTTACAGCAAGTGAAGGGGGCAGAATGCATTATGATGGAGGCATTTACAGCAAGTGAAGGGGGCAGAAGGCATTATGATGGAAGCATTTACAGTGAGTGAAGGGGGCAGAAAGCATTATGATGGAGGCATTTACCATGAGTGCAGAGGGAAGAAAGCATTATGATGGAGGCATTTACAGCGAGTGAAGGGGGCAGAAGGCATTATGATAAGAGGCATTTACAGCAAGTGAAGGGGGCAAGAAGCATTATGATGGAGGCATTTACAGCAAGTGAAGGGGGCAGAAAGCATTATGACGGAGGCATTTACAGCGAGTGAAGGGGGCAGCAAGCATTACGATGGAGGCATTTACAGCGAGTGCAGAGGGAAGAAAGCATTATGATGGAGGCATTTACCATGACTGAAGGGGGCCTGGGCATGGTGAACAACATGTCAGGTTGTAAGCCACAAAGTCTTCAATTAGAATCCTAGCTAGCTGCTCTGCAGGAGAAAGATGTGCAATCCCCTCCAGCACCGATTTACAGCCATGGAAACCCAAAGGAGGGTCGGCACAAGTAGGAATCAGCCGGTGGTACTGAGTCTGGTTTAGATGGAACTTTGAAAGAACCTTTGTGATGTAGCACTAGCCTGAGAGGTCAATGGTTTGAATCTACCACCTACTCCAAAGGAAAAAGATGAGGTAGTCTGCTTATGTAAAGATTTACAGTTCTGTTCTGTCCCAGAGGTTTGCTATGAGTCTGAAATTATTTGATGACCATGAGCCCTAGTAACACGGGTTTAAATATCAGGCAGCTGGAATCCTATGGGAGAGCCGCCATGTGTCAGAATCAAAGCAACAGCAGTGACATCAGAGGAGTGGATGCTAGCACTAAGATGCAGGGACCAATGCATTTAAACAGCAGCAGCACTCCCAAGGTATTAACTAAGGACAGGACAACGAAAGCAAGAACAGAAAGATTTCCAGGGACCGTAAACACCATAATGACAGTGTGCGCCATAACAAGCTTCTAACCAAAAGGTGGGCAGTATGAATCTACCATCTGCTCCAAGGGAGAAAATGAGCAGTCTCTTCCCATAAAGTCTGACAGCACCAGAAACCCAGCAGATGGCTCTGTAAGTCAGAACTGACTAGACAGCTATAGATGGTAAGCCTATGACTATGCCAGTCATGTTGTGGTGGTGGTGGTGGGGCTAGTATACCGTTAAGAAAAAAATCGACCCATAGCTGACTCTCATACACTTCACCGTCTTGGGGTTAAGAAAGTGTCAACAAGACACACACATACACACAGAAAGTGAAAACCTTAAAGAAAGTGACTGACACAACTGACAAACCTAATTTCAAATTTCTGCAAAATGAGCACAAGTTATAATGAAAAAAGAAGCCAAAGGAATCAGTTATTTGCCCTACATAACAGGCGTAAACCAGTAATACCAGAATATAGATTTAAAATTCCTCCTAAAACCTAATTAGCCAGTACCAAATCAATTAAGCCATTGTCATCTAGTGCATTCCAACTCATAAGCTTCCGTTGGGTTTACACGGTTATAAATCTCATCGGAGCACAACACCTCCTCCTTCTCCTTCAAAGCAGCTGGTGAGTTTGAACTGCCAACTTTCTGGTTCGCAGTCTAACATATAAATCATTACATTATAAGAACTCATAAATCACACGACTGAGCAACTCACAGAAAACCTCATTTAATATCACTTGCAATATAAAGTTATCCAAATCCACTAAGGATAAAAAAGGAAAAATGAAAACAATGAGATATCATTTTTTAATCTAACAGATTAGCATCTATTAAAAATCAGTCAAACTCAAAGGGTTGTTAACACTCTGGGAAATCTGAGTCTCTGCCCCCAGCACTTCCACACGCTGACAGTAATCTCACGTGCACATATATGTGCAAGCAATTTGTACTATGTGGCTGTTAGAGCATTGCTTTTGTGACAGCAAAGAATTAGAAAACAACCTAAACATTCATCAGAAGGGAAATGGGTAAATGAAATATAGTATATTCATGCAAAGATTCACTGTGCAGAAGTTAAGGGAAATATATGTACATATACCAATATAGACGTTGTTGTCAGGTGCTCCATCGTTAAGACTGACTCACAGTGACCCCATGTGACAAGGCAGAATTGACCCAGAGTGTTTTCTAGTCTGTCATTTTTACAGCAGGTTGCCAGTTATTACCCTAGGGGAGTGACCAGGCAGAATCAAACTGCTCATCTCTCAGGTAGCAGCCAAGGGCTTTACCATCAGCATCAAAAAATGTAAGAAGAAAGCTACAAAGTAGAGTATGTTCAAATAGGCCACAATACATAAATTCTTGAGGTATTAAAAACACTGTATGTTTTCTACTTAGCCATCTATTTGTGTTTATAAAAGAAAAAATTAACTTCTACAAATACATGCCAAACTCAAAACCTGGGGAACTTCTGGAGAAGAAATAAAGTGGTAGCACCATGGATGGTGGTCAAAGAATTTCCAATTTCTGTAACATTCTAATACACTCATAATGAAACTATCTATACAATTATTCTGTTACTGTAGTTAGATGTCAAGTTGACTATGACTTATCACAACCCTATGAACAACAGATCTGAACTTGGTCCTATTCTGTGCTACCCTCAAATCTCCATCATGTTCAAGTCCATGGTTGTAAACAATCCATCTCACTGAGAATTTTCTTCGCTGAACCTTTACCTTTCCCAGCACGATTATTCCCTGGGGTGTTCTATAAAAGGACAATTTGGAAGCAAGCCAAAGCATTCGTTTTCAAACATAGGTGTGTATCATTTTCTCTTCTGTATTTTTCTTTAGCTTTTCAATCTCCCTCCCTTATATTAAAAACAAACAAACAAATGGAAAGCCATATAAAACACTAAGACCCAGTAATGATCTGATCCTGATGTGCTCAAATCATGTGCTTTCATTGCTATTACATTATAAAAAAAAATGAGTAAACTGTCAAGTCAAAATTAAATTACACTTACGCATGTAAGGCAGCTTTTCTGGGCAGGGAAGGTATGGTGAATATGTGAAGTTTTCTGGCAGATACGTTGTCGTTTGGATTAGATAATCACTTGAACTACTGCCTTCGGGATAATCTAGAAGAGAGAAAAATTACAGCATAAAACCCTTGCCATTCGCTTTGTTCTTCATTTCGTGATAAATGCATCACTACTGACTCTAGGTAAAGACCTACAATCTGCAATCCACGAGTCCTTAAAAGCAATTACCCGCAAGGCACCAAGCAGGGCTAAGTGCAAGTGGCATCAGCTCCTCTCATTCACCCTGCCGGTCCCTGCAGCGTGATTTCCCGAGGGAGCCCTGCGGACAAGCCTGGAGAGAGGAGCAAGCCCTGAGCACGCACACAGACAGGGCAGTGTCACTGACAATCACAGACTCATGATCCAGGAACACCTGCTCCCGTCCCTCCTGGAGCCGGAGCTGGAGCCAGATCCTTAGCGTGAAAGCACAACAGAGAATCACTCACTATCAACTAGCCACAGTGGGCCGCCCCCAGCAGCTACACAGAAGAGTGGTGGGAGTAATGTTTTCTCACCATCTTACACTTCAAAAGCTGAGATTTACCCACTCGACTTGCTTCTTTAATACAGTCCCATTCTAAGTCTTTAAATCAGTCATTGCCAACCTGTGGGCTGCAGTTTGTGGGGAGCCCTGGAGCTACTGTCATATTAAGTCTACTACGTTCACACTCAGGAAATGATACAGCAGTTTGAGTTGGTGTAGAGTAACAAAGTTAACTCCCTGGAGCAAATCCTTACTCCAACACCTACTAGTTTTATGCTACAGGAAAAGGAACAACTTCATTTCATATCTGTAATTGGTATGTTCAATTAGGCCACTTACAGAAACACAGATGATACTAGTGCTTCATTCATACTGTTGCTCTGAACCTTCAATGAGATTGAATGTATAAAAGTACTCTGGACAATCCCTGGTTCACAGCAATTATTAGTGCAACCATGAGTGACTGATGAGATGAGCAACCGACACAACAACAGACATTCAAGGCTTTCTTGGAACTGTTTAGCGTTTGTTGGGTTTTTAAAAAAAATTATCATTGTGGTAAATGGGGGGGGGAGGGGAGTGTGTCTTCATAGTGACTGTATGAACAAAAAGACCTGAACATTTGTATAACTTTCATCATTTCCCTAAGTTCATAGGGTTTCTATATACAATCGTTATACATACCTACTATACGTGGGTAAAAGACTGAAGTTGTCCAAGATTTCATTTTACTTGGATCACCAATCAAAATTCATAGAAACAGTAGTCAAGGAACCAAATGATAATACTGCATGGGCAAATCTACTGTCAAAGACCTCTTATAAAGTGCTAAAGAGCAAGGATACCAGCTTAAAGCACCTGACCAAAGCCATAATATTTTCAAATGCATGCAATGCTTGTGAAAGCTGAGCAATAAATAAAAAATGATAGAAGAAACACTGATGGCTTTGAATTGTGGTGTTGGCAGAGTACTGAACATACTACAGACCACCAACAGAGCAATAAACCTCTCTTGGAAGAAGTGTGGCCAGGGTGCTCCTCAGAGATAATGTATGTGAGGCTGCATCTCACATACTTTGGGCATGCTGTCAGAAGGGGTCCGTTCCTTGAAAGAGACATCATGCTTGGAAAGGTAGAGGGTGAGAGAAGCAGTAGATACTTAAGGAAATGGACTGACACAGTGAATGTAGCAATGGGCTTTTAAAAGTACAGCGGAGATTGTGAGGGTGGCTCTATGTATCAGAAGCAACTTGTGGCATCTAACAACACAACATACACATTAGTTGTTGTATGCCATCGAGTTGGAATAGACTGATAGCTGAGTTTTCAGAGGCAAAAAAATAGCATGGTAGGAGACTGCCTGCCCACCTTTTTCCTGTGGAGCAGCTGGTAGATTCAAACCACTCGGTTGGCAGCGCAACTCTTTACCATTAGACCACCAGAGCTCTATTGTACATTAGTAAAAATATGAAATGGACAATAAAGATTAACCCTGGGGCAGTGCACTGTCAATGTGAGCGCCAAAGACTTATTTTATTATAATTCTGAAGCAGATCTTCAAGTAATTTCTTAGTATGATACAGCAAAATTCCAACAAAAGCATATTTTACTAGTCTGTTATAATTAATGTCTTTCATGAAAGTTTGAGGTGGTGCAAATCCACCAGGTGCCCTATGTGAGAATAACGAGCAATTTCTACCCTTGCAATTTATAGCCTCTATAAATCTGCTGGAGGGTCAACTATGAGTGAGTTCCAACTCAATACCAATGAGCTAACTTTGAGTTCATTAAAGTGTGGGAACCGCAGAATTGGGGAACAGCAAGGTCAACTGGCATAAGAGAGGGTACGACGACAACGTTCTAACATCCTACTGGTGAATGGTGACTGAGGTCTTGACAACTTCAGAGTAGCCATCTAAAGTATAACTATTATTCTCTCTGGCTCCAGAACAAAGATGAGGGAGGAATACAGTAAGAGACTGTGGGAACCCCTGAGAGCACAGTTCTTAGCTACCCTACAAACCCTGGAACAAAACTCACACTGTGGCTCAATTTTCAGGAAAAATACTGGCCTAGAAAATGTCTCGAAACATCAGGAGGGGCATTCATTCCTTTGAAAAACCAACCATACAGGGTTGGTTACTGTCAAAACAACAGTGTATTCCCCAGTGATAAAGTTTTAAAGGCAGGTTAGAAAGACTAAACAGAAACAAAAATTACAGGGAGGAAATGGGGAAAGCGTCATCATCATATTGTAGGGACTGTAATTAATGTTATGAAACAAAATATGTAAGCACAACTGAAAAACCAATTTGTTTTGTCATCTCTCATTCAATTCACAAGGGGGGGAAGAACAGCCTGGGCTCATTCTGCTATGACTCTAACTCATATGAAGCTAACACAATGTAAACTCGATGGGTATTTCTACAAAATCTGGTGGCAACAGCCGGTAACAGGAGAGGTGCACTCTATCATTCCTCACTCATCTACCCAGAACCCACTCCTATCGGGCCCCGATTCGAGTATTCAGTAGGATATAAATTGCATGGGTGAGGCTCCCCATCTTTTTCCCTCAGAGCCGCTAGTGAATTCAAACCAACAGAGAGGTTCCCTTTGGGGTGACAGCACAGTCTCCTACAAGCTACGCCACGAGTGTTCCTTTTATTCTAGTACACTGCTGACATGACTAAATCTTCCACAGAATACATTCATCACTTTCATTAGTTTTTAAATAACCAAACATTTTTAAATATGCCTTAGTAAATTCACATCCTTGGAGATGGTTTTGATGTTAAACATGTTTTATTTCAGGCAACAGCATATAATTGATCCTCAGGTGCTAAATTCATTGCTCCAGGCTCACAGAAATGCCTCGGGCCTCTGACAGTGAGGTGTCCAGAGGCATTTGTCTCATTTCAAAGCATTACTGACATGTAAACCTATGAATCTCTCCTCTACTAATAGCTGCATACCTCTTTTGACTGAAATGTTTATCACCTAGTAGTAAAGTACCTAGAACATAGTAGCAAAATCCTGCAAGTAAACACTTTACAACTGATTAATATAGATGGCTGTTAATGATTTAACCTTTTGGAGAACATACTGTAACAAGGCCACAAAGTCTTCTTCAACTGCAACAAAAGAGGTGAGCAGACATTACTGACTTCAAAGTTGGGAGTTTTAAAAGGTAAGCATGAGAGACGCATTTGGGACTGATTTACCACAACTCCAGTAAAATGGACACATTATTTCATCTAGTCAACAGAGAAAAAGCACAATTCTGGATCCCCTGCCTTATTCCTCCCTTCTGGAACTACATCCAGAGAAAAGAGAGATGGAAAGAAAAAAGCAGATGGACAGGTCCCTACTCAGCCTCTCTCAATGGACCTTAGGAGTTCAAGCAAAAGAGTCCAGACAATGGCTTTGTTGTTCCGCAAAAAGACTTTAAAATGAGTAACAGAATTTCAATGAGATTTCTAGTCTACCAATGGCTGTGTGCCTTGGTTTACCCATTCAACAAACTAGGAAGATGTACTTAGTGACTTCCAACAAACCTATCAAGTTATACCACCACATAACTTTTAATATCTGTTTTTGAATCATTCACAAAAATAGTCTATTTCTGTCTTAATAAATTATGAGGAAAGATGTAATTTCATTATGGAAACACACAGAATCTTTACAAAAATATCACTTATTACTTTTATCAAATGCTGCAGAACTTCAGGCTCATGGGGGAAATGCTCCTTTGGGAGTTGATTAGATAGTATAATTAATTCTATTAATCAATGGTAATTAATGTAATAAAATATCTGATCTGAGTTATTATAGGAAAAGTGTGATTTGTAAACTACCCCACAAATTAAAAAAAATAATATTTTAAAAAATGCTTCTGAAGTCAAATATACTTGTAAATATCACAACCTATTTAACATTAAGTGCTAAATTTTAAATGAGTCACCCTATGCTAATTAGTTGTTCCCTGGAGCTCAATTAGTTCTTGGTACATTATCTCCTTTTTGGCAGATTATGTCTGTGTGTGTCTGTGTGGAAATAGCCAATTGTATTATAAATAACAATGTTTTTCTCTCTCAGAAGCCTAGAGAACTTCATATATACTAAGATTTTTAAATATTGTATCTCCAAAATCTAGCTGATTATACTAATTATGTTAATTGTTTGATAAACGTCAGCTAAATAAGCACAACACAGCCTCACAGCTGCCTACTCACCCTCTCAATTTCTCTTTTTTGGTGGCTTATAGACCCCCAAGTTCATCCACGGCACCAGCATGTCCAGCACAGTACTTCCTACCTAGCACATTCTACGTGGCCATGGGGCAAGCAGAAATGTTGCATGAGATGCATGAGACTCCTTTGAGAGCTTCTCAAAACAAGGCACCTCACTTATTTTTCCTTTATCCCTGTTCCCTTCCTCTTTCCTAAGTACATACAGACTGGGGCCCCAGAAGTCATCTAAGGTTATGAGGTAGCTGTGACAGAGTAAAAGATGGAAAATGACTGAAAACTCTCAAAAAGCTTCCACAACAGCTACAAACTGGATTACCAGATTTTACTTAAGAACATAAAGCCTCAGTGTGTAAGCTGCTGCAGACACATCTCTGTTATAGCCAAACCTATTTCCCCACAGATCCAATGGCAAGACTGTCTTCTGAGAACAGTTTACCCTCTGTAAACAAATGGTATGAGAAGTTCAGAGAAACTAAGTTTTGAAACATGGTACAATGTGGATGGGGCTTAAAGACAGTCTGCTGAGAGAAATAAATCAGTGGTATGAGCTCATTTATATAAAAAGGCTACCACAAGCCAATACACAGAGGTCAAAGTTTATCAGTTGTTACAAGGAGGGGAAACCACTCACTGCCATTTAGTCAATTCTAACGCATGGCAACCCTACAGGATAAAAATAACTGCTCTGTAGGATTTCCAAACCTTTAACTGTTACAGAAGCCAAGAGCCATGTCTTTCTTCCATGGAGTAGCTGGTAGATTCCAACTTCTCATCTTTCAGAGAGTAGCACAATGTTTAATCCCGTGCACCACTAGGGCCAGGAGGGAGAACATTAAGTTCTTCATTATAGAGTACTGACTTTCCAGTTTACAGTGATGGGAAAATCACATTAGTAAAGGGTAGGGTTCCACAGACAATGTAAATGTTGCCAAAATGTACACTTATAGAAAGCTGAATAGGCAAAAGCTTTGTGGTAGATATTTTTGTAACGACAAACAACAATAAAGAATGGTTACTAAGACTGCTTATGTACAACCAAGTATCTCAGTGGATTTAGTTCCCTGCTGTAGGGTAATGGTTTCATGAGACATCTCAGTCTGATAATCTGCCCATTGCTTCTGTTCTACCTCCTAGTATCACATGGTCCCTGGAAGATTAAAATTGACAAGTAATCATCCAACGTACAATAGAGAGTATCTATACTTGGAGCAACAAAGGGAGAAGAGTCAGGAAAAAGAGGGAAATGGGATGTATGGTTAAATGCCTCCATGAATAACTGTCTCCTTTACCACGAAACTAGAACTAGATGGTGCCTGGCTAACATCATGAAGCAACAAGTTCAAAGATTCTAACAAAAAATTCTGAGCAAACAAGGGAAAATGTAGAACAGAATTTCAAATGCTCACGGAATCTAAAGGTCCTGCAGCCACAGGGGCTAGAAGAAATCCTAAAATTAGCGCCTTGAGATAATCTTTGAACTTTACAACAACAAAATCCCCTGACATCTTAAAACTAAACAAACATTTAGCTTAACTAGTAAATAAATGTCTGACACGAGCACTATGCTATTTTAAAAATCTATTTAGATGGAGTAAAATTAACAGAAACTCGAAAAAATTAAAGAAGCAATTTAAAGATAAATTTAGGGGGAGTGGGAGTGTTTTTAATTTAATAAAGGAAGAAGAATTTAGAAGAGAGGTGAGAATAGTTATATAACTCAAAGAACAGAATCAACATCAATGGGCCAGGTAGAAACTGTCAAACTGATGTATATTCTACTGTGAATTTTCTCAACAACAAAAATAAATTACTTTAAAAAAAACAAAACCAAAAAACACATTAACTTTGTGCCAAATTCCATCATTTTCCTGGCCATACACATTTATATGATTAAGGTCCTGGTTCAAATAAAATAATCTACCAGGACCCTTGGCTGGAGATAGTTTAATCTTCAAAAGTGAGAGTTAGCTGAGGGCAAAACCTGAGTTTAGGTAATGTGGCCTACTCCACATGACGAAAAACAGAAGTGAGGCAAAACTAGTGTATCAAATGGGAAGCATTCTTACCTGTACCATTGAACGTTGTGTTTTTGTTTGTGTACAGCCTGATCATATGTCCTATTGTTTTCACATTTTCTCTCAGCATTATACCTCGTGCTTGGACCATGAAGAAATACGTGTTGGCTATAAAGAGAAAAAAAGATAATATCATGACTCTTTTCCATAATAAAATACCTATTTGTTCTTAAGACAGTAAAAATAAAGTCATAAAATAGCAAAATTCATTTATCGTATACAATGATAATTATAATAAAACATAATGAACCCTTCTACTTGTACACTATAAAATGCACATAAAATTTTAAAAAAGAAAAAAACTTTTAAAAAAGGTATTCTATCACAGGCATCAGGTCAGAATTATGCAATTTACTTTCTCTAACAATATCACTGATTTCACATGCAAGCAAGATTCTACTGAAGAGTATACAAAAACGACTGGAACAGCACATCAGCAGAGAACTGCCAGAAGTCCAGGCTGGGTTTTGAAGGGGTCGTGGTACTAGGGATATTGTAGCTGATATTAGATGGATCTTAGCTGAAAGCAGAGAATACCAGAAGAATGTCTATCGGTGTTTCATTGATTATGCAAAGGTGTTTGACTGTGTGGATAACAAACTGTGGCTGACTCTGAGAAGAATGGGAATTCCAGAACATTTAATCGTGCTAATGTTAAACCTATACTTGGACCAAGAGGCAGTCATCAGGGTAAAACTGCATGGTTCAAAATTGGGAAGGGTGTACGCCAGGGATGCATCCTGTCTCCATACCTTTTCAACCTGTATGCACAGCAGATTAACCAAGAGGCTGGGCTCTATGAGGAGAAGTGTGGCGTCAGGATTTGGTGGAAGATCAATTAACAATCTGCGTTATGCAGATGACACAACCCTGCTTGCAGGTTGATTGAGGTTGTTCACAGCTTCAGTTTGCTCAGCTCCACAGTCAACACTCTTGGCACCAGCAGTCAGGAAATCAAAAAGCGTACCGTGATGGGAAAGTCTGCTGTTAGGGACCTCTCTAAAGTACTCAGGAACAACAGTGTCTCTCTGGAGACTAAGGTGCCCCTGATACAGGCCATGGTATTTGCAATCACTTGTTACGCATCAGAGAGTTGGACAATGACTAGGGAGGACAGAAGGAGAATGGATGCTTTTGAGCTGTGGTGCTGGAGAAGAGTACTGAATGTACAATGGACTGCCAGGAAAACAAACAGATTCATCTTGGAGAGGATTAAACCAAGCTACTCCTTGGAGGCAAGGATTCTGTGGCTTTGTCTGACATACTTTGGACACGTTGCAAGGAGGGACAGGTCCTTGGAGAGGGACATCATGCTTGGGAGGGTGGAGGGACAGCGCAGGAGGGGAAGACCCTCTATGAGGTGGACTGATTCAGTGACTGGGGTGATCGGGATGGGTGTGTCAGAGGCAACGCGATTGGCACAGGATAGAGCAGGGTTTAGGGCTGTTGTCCATAGGGTCACTATGAGTCACAAACGACTCGACGGCACGTAACAACAACAACAACAAAAGTTCTGTACTGATGTGTGCCATCAACTTAGAACCAATCCATAGCCACCATAGCCAATCTTCCAGCAGGTTTTCAGAGTCAGTAATTAAATGGGAGGAGATGGCCCATCCTTCTCCTGCAGAAGCAGCTGACAGATTTGAATCATGTGCCTTCAATATTGCAGCACAGATTCTTACCACTAGGCCACCAGAGCTCCCTTATTACAGAGATCTCTATTAAGGAGCTCTAATGACAATCTACAGTTAGGGACCTCTTCAGAGTACTCAAGAGTCACTCTGGAGACTAAGGTGTGCCTGACAAAGGTCACAGTCTTTGCAAGCACTTGCTACGCATCAGAGAGCTGGACAATGATGAGAGAGGATAGAAGCAGAATTGATGCCTTTGAGCTGTGGTGCTGGAGAAGAGTATTGAATATACCATGGACTGCTAAGGAAATGAACAGGTTCATCCTGGAGAGGGTTAAACCAAGCTGCTTCTTGGAGGCAAAGATTCTAAAGCTTTGTCTGACATACTCTGGACATGTTTCAAGGAGGGACCAGTCCTTGGAGAAGGATGTCATGCTTGGGAGGGTGGAGGGACAGTGCAGGACAGGAAGACCCTTTAGGAGGTGGATAGATTCAGTGACTGAGGTTAACACGTTGCCGCACTTTTTAAATTGACGATCGTGCTTAGAAACACATTTGCCATCACTGGCGGCAATGTGTTAATGGGGGTAGGTGTATCAAGGACAATAGGATTGGCACAGGATAGAGCAGGGTTTAGGGCTGTTGTCATATGGTTGCTATGAGTCACAGGCAACTCGACAGCATATAACAACAACAACAACGACAGTCAGCCAAAGAGAGGAAGGTCTCCAATGAGATGGGATGACACAGTGACTGCAGCTGAAATCTGTCGGAGATGAGGATGGCAGCAGGAAAGGACAGGGTTCAGTCTGTTGTTCAATAGGGTCACTATGAGTCATACACAGCCAACAGTACCTAACAACAGTGCCCCAGGGGTATGTAGTTGTAGTTCCAACCCAAAGGCAGGCAATTCTAATCCACCAGATTCTCTGTGGGAAATCAGTGGACAATCTCCACTTAAGAGATTTACAGCCTCTGAAAACTGACTGCTGAAGGGTCAGCTCCAACTCAATGGCAAAGAATGTTAATTTTAAATTTATTCTCCAAAACAAAGAGTCTATAAAACTTAGGGTTCCTGTTCTAACTATAAATGTATCACAAACCACTGTAACAGCCAGTGGTTGCGATGCATCTTGTATATACTCAATGTGCTGAAGTTAGATGATGTAGCATCAAGTTCTATCTTTGGTAATTTCAGAGTTAAAATCTCCAAAGTTTCTAAGCCTACTAACCAGAATTGTAACAAAAGAATAAATCAAAAGCAATGAGCATTCTTAAAGTTGGTCACTTTAATTCTTTGTAATAACTGTTTCAAAAATAAGTTCCCAATTCAAATGGATAAAAATGACAAAGCCAAACTGATAACCTAGAGCTGGGTTCCCTGGCAGCCTGGCCTACTCTGCTGCCTATTTATAGCAGAATTCATCGAATAAATTTGGGCTTGATCAGGAAAAAAAAAATGACAAAGCCCTGTATTTTTAGATGCTAAGCCTTCCTCAGAGAGGTATAGAACCAATGTCAGAAACTCTTCTCCTCATCATGATCTAAGATTCTACAAGTGCCCAAGATTTTGAGTGATGCATTGATGTTCACCCTGCTTGCTGCATAAAGAAGGCACAGTACCATATAATCTCTTAATTTCACTCTAAATATTCTAAACACAATGTAAGAGAAAAAGGGGGGGAGGGAGAGAGAGAGATATTCCATTCACCCAAGAGATTGAGAGGTCCATTATCAAGGGGAACCAAAAACAGTTAAGACTCAGTTAAACCCACTCTCATCGAGCCTGTTTTGACTCATGCTGGCCCTCTATCAGGTTTCCAGGGTGGCCCAGGGGTAAGGAATTGCACTGACAACCCAAAGACATGTGGTTTGAATCCATGAGCTGCTCTTTAGGGGGGAATAAGACAGGCAATCTTCTCTCAAGCAATTTACAGCCTCTGAAAAGCCACTGGAGGGTCAGCTCTGAGTTGGTTATAAGATGACAACACATAACAACTCAACAAATGTTAATAGAAGCTGTTTCCTCTTTCTCCCATGAATTAAGTGGTTGGACCTAAACCACTGACCTACATATAGCAGATATGCTGGTTAGCAGAACAGCACATAACTTATTACACAGCCCCATGAAGGTTCTGTCAACAAGGTCAAGATAAGCTAACTCTGAACACAATGAATGATGACCTCTAAACATGAATGTGCAGTGACAAAATTAGGAAGTCAACTACTTTTCTGAGCCCTATTCTACCTCATCAAGACAGGAGAGAACATAAAATCGTCTTTCCCCGTTCCATCAGTGTGAACCTGTTCTAAGAAATGATAGTGAATAGAACCAGCTGAGCAGCAGAGTACACATTTTCTTTCATCATCAATTCATGAAAAAGAGGTAACTCAAGAGTCAACACTTCACCTAAGTTTTGCCTTTGTAATTTTTAAGAGCATGTCTACATCCTTTCTACAAAGCAGTACTGTAATTAGATTTAAAATTGAGGTTGAATTTACTGTTCTGGGTTAAAAGAAATCATAGCTTTTATCATGCATTTGCTTTTAAATAGATGTTTAAAAGAGAGGGGGGGAAATTGCCAACTAAAATGTAGAAAAATATCCAATCAAACTAGACAGGGTAGGGGGAGAAGCATCATATGGATTCCCAGATCTAACTGGGAACAACACCTTTTATTATTTAATCCTGCAGTTGTTTATCAATCTGTTATCAGTGATGTAAGCATCCAGGACAGTTCTGCACCAAACTGCAAAATAAAAACATGTCAGAGATCAGCAGAACCAAACAGAAAGGAAAAAACCGAAGCTTCCAAAAATGATGCTCAACCATCCAAGGAGATGCTTGGTAAGAATATGGATACAATTTTGTGTGTAATGAAAATACAAGAATAAAAACTACAGGGCTTCACCAAATCTACTCATATATATATATCTACTGAAGAGGACCTCATGCACTTGCTGCAGAGGGTCAAGGACTACAGCCTTCAATGCTCAATGTCAAGAAGACAAAGATTCTCACCAATGGACCAATTGGTAGCATCAGGATGGATGGCGAAGAGATTGAGACGGTCAACACTCTTGGCACCAGCAGCCAGGAAATCAAAAAACATATTGTGATGGGAAAGTCTGCTATTAGGGACCTCTCTAAAGTACTCAAGAGCAACGGTGTCTCTCTGGACCCTGATACAGGCCATGGTCTTTGCAATCACTTGTTATGCATCAGAGAGTTGG